AAGGACATCAAGGACGCGGGAGGCTGGGCAGTGCTTGTCTTTTCCGGCGTGGGATTCTACCGCTTCTGCAAATACAGAGTTGGATTTGACCCGGATAGCATGCAGCGACTCCGGTGCCTCCGGCCGCGGATTGAGGTCGCCGCCGACACGCTGCACCCCACATGGCGGCATCTACTCGTGATTGTCGGTGAATGCACGCAGCGTCGCTTTTTCGGCCACCCACACGACTGGGTGGTCTACAGGGACGGTTCGGACCCGGTATCGCTCCGGTCAACATACCTCAAGTGCAACCCTAACTTCAGCTTTGAGCAGCTTGAACATCCAGTCATCGATATGAGCGCGTGGGGTACCGATGACCCACGGTGGGTGCCGCCAGTGGACGCCGTGGCTTGCGTCCTAGGCATACACACATGTCAATCGTGCGGGCGGGAGCAGTCCGAAGACCCTATGACCAACTCGTGCTACTGCTTCCCAACGCTATTTGGGTTCGGACGTCGGTTCCCTTGTCCGGTGCAGGTGTTCCGGACCTCTGACGGATGCAACAACGGCCTGATGGCTCTGTGTCCGTTTGAGCGCGGCGCGGCGATAGGAGAATTTGTGGGCCTTATCACGAGAGATTTGCAAAACACGGACGTCATGGATAGCTCGACGGGTGGCCGAGCCTATCAGATCTGGCAGGGTCGGCAGGGCAACTTTACGAGGTTCATCAATCACAGTTGCCAGTCCAATGCGCAATTCCAGCAATTTGTGTGGATGAGTACGCAGCGCATCATCCTAGTGAGTAAGGGCATTGAAGCGGGGCACGAAATCACGGTAGAGTATTCTGAAGCTACTGGCGTGATTCGGACAAAGGATGTCTCTATAAAGAGTCAAATTGCCGGGAACAGAGTGCACCTCGGCGGGGAGAAATGACTCTGCGGAGTCGTTGGTTTAAGTATGACACGAAAAAATGGGCGAGGCGGCAAATGGGGTTTAGATGAACCACACGGACGAAGCGGCGGTGAGAGCGGAATAAATAAGTCGAGATTCTCATGTTCAGGAGATGATACTTCCTTTCTTGTACAATTTTTTTCTTCAATTTTGTTTCCCTTCCCACAGCTTCCGCGACTTGCCGTGACGGCCTGCGTTCTTCCGTCAGCTCTGTTTGGCTTTGAGGTGTGGTTTTCGGGCTGTACCAAGCCGGCCAACTTCCCACAAGCGCCCCGAACGGGGACCACCCTCACGAACCGCTCGTACATACCGGTCAGAAAGGCCACTTCACCTGCCCAGGCCGTGCTCCAGGTCTGAAGTACCACCCTGACTGACCTCTTGTTCGGAGAGTAAGGCCTACCCACCGCCATAGCCGATCTAAAAGGGGCAAGATGGCGCAATGCCGCGAGGCTACGCCGAAATGACGCCCTACACCCATTGGTCCCTCGGCTGGAGGGGCGAGCACTTGATTGCCCTGGGAGGGAAACCCGACTTCAGCGGCGGACCTGTGCTCTCCTGCCCCCATGGCCACGGCCGGTCCTAATCCTCGGCTGCTTTTCAGCAGATGGCAAGGGGACTTTCGGCCTCTGAACTCGTGGTCTACTCAGACGGGTCGATGCTCGCCGAAAGCGCAGTGGGCCACGGGTGTGCGATACACCGCGGCCCTCAAGTCATCGCAAAAAGCTATGGTCACAGAGGTCTTTGATGCCGAAGCTGAAGGAGCCCGGCAAGGCCTGCGGCAAGCACTTCGCCTAGCCACCTCCTCCACTGCACCGATACACATCTGCCTTAAACATACTTCTGCCCTGAACTTCATCTTAGGCTTCGGTAGCTCTCCAGGTAGCTCGCAAGCAGCGATGTAGAAGATCATCGACGCCCAGCAGGTAAGGAATATCAAATGACACTGGTCGCCCGGACACACCTGGATTCCTGGAAACGAATTAGCTGATAAACTTGCAAAGAAAGAGGCTGCCCTCCTGATGCCCAACCCTCCCACACTGGCCTCATACGCTAGAATAGCGAATAAAGTCAGAACGCATGCCCGGAGCCATTCCCAGCAATGGTGGAACAAGTCTAAGCAGAAGCACAAACTGGGTACGCAGGAAATGCCGTGGTCCTCGGATGCACTCCAGAACTAGACTTGCCTCGCACTCTTTGGCATCACCTCCTAGCCACGCGCTCTAGCCACGGACACTTCCACTCCTGCCATAGGCGCTTTGGGCATGAAGGTGACTTTAGATGTAACTGCGGGCGGAAACTGTCGCCAACCCATTCAGTGTACTGTTCAAAGAACCGCCATATCCAAGCCCTATGGCCGATTCCCGGGACTGCGAAGGACCCGGGGCCACCACCGCCGCCTCCGACAGGCCAAGCCGAAGCCTACTGGAATGCCCGGTACGAGACCCGGGCACGTTTGAGAAGTTCGAACAGGCGACGCACTATTACGAGGCTCACTCGCTACGAATATAGCGTTAGCGAGCCTGAGACGATGCGCTTCAATGTTCTTTTGCATACCTATCGACGACATTGAGCCCCTGTTCTTCCTCACCCCCTTTTGCGCCCAGAATTCCCGAACAATTCGGAATAGTGTTGGAAAACATGAAATTGACTCGTGGACAACTAAGCCTATGGGAGGAGGTTTTTCTTCAGCGGTGCGTCGCTATCTGTGGTTAGCACAGGGCTGCTGAAGAGCCATACGCTTCAACCAAGCTAGGAGACCCCTGCTGGTGTGCTTTTTGAGACTGAACGGGCTAGAGGATTAGTAATAAGTCCCTAATCTAGGCATGAGAGGAAAAGTGTATTAGATTGCCGTCAGGTAGTTACCAACATAACCTGACTCTGCTGACCTGTGCCAATTTCCCGCTCGCCCATGGATCCACTCACTGAGTCACTCGGGACGACAGAGCAATGCGAATGATATGTCATGTGGGAATATTAGACTCTATGTAGAGGCTTGCCAGATCGGGATCATTTCAACGCTATGGAGGCGAAGCGGTCGCCTCCTTGAGACAAGGGAGAGAGGGACCACAGTGATGACGAAACGTTTATGTCGCAAGGTACGAGCAAAGATTGACAGGGAAATCAATTGACTTCAATAAATTGCACTAGGACTTCATAGGCTAACGCTGCACCGCTGCGAGGTTTATCCTTTGTTCAATTGTGGTTTCTGATTTCACTAGAAAGCCTCATCGCTCACACCGCCTGGCTCGCATGCCCAATGGTAGACACTGGCTCTAACAAAGTTCCTAGGTACTTTGCGAAGATTAATTGCTAGAAGGCACTCCTTAAACCTAGAATCTGAGCTAGAACCACGCGATACCACTCCCAGTCTGCCTTTCCAGACTTGCGGCAAAGCCAACGTCTAAATAGTCCGGTCCCTTCTAGTATCAGTTTAGGGACTGGAATAACATTACCAAGGTTTTCTGAGAACCCTCCCGCAACTCCTCGAAATCGTCCAGCATAACAACTCAAACAAACTTGCCTGATACGGTTCCATCCAATGTCAACGATCCGAGTGGCCTCGATATCAGGCTGGAAACAATACCAAGATATCCGGCGATGCACACAATGGGGTTGTTGCGCGGCTGTGGGGGCCGCGGGATTGTCTGTAGACGTCGACGATAGTCGTCGTTTTGTCTACCACCAGCCACAATACGTCTCTCGTGTGGGCAGGCCTCTGCTGCTCCACCTTCATCCCTATCTCTTTGCGTGTATGGGTCAATACTCTCGGTTCCACCATCCACATTTGGTCCTAACACGGTCGACTCGCTTCTCTTGAATTCTGATAGTAAATCTCATGTATCTGTTAATCAGAGGACATACAATCCAACCCTAAACAGAGTCATGTCGCTACTCTGGCCTGGTTTTCATGATCAAACTTGCTCGGCAACATTCTGTCTAATGAGAGCCTCGAACGTTGCCAAGGCGAGTCGCTATATGAATGTCGCCAAATTGTACTCTACATAAGTCGCATGACTCTCTATCAAGTTGTATTATATGGGAGGCCATACAATAATCTCGCAGTAGTGTTATACTCACCAACTTTATTTATATCCTAGTAGATTGTCTCGGTAACGCCGGAACCTAAAACTCACCCATCATACACTAGCACCGCGCTTCCAAACTTAACTTGTATTAGGGTCAAGTTTCTCGGTGATGCCGGGACCAGAGGTTTTTCTCATTACAACATCGCGGTTCAGAGTATGGCTGAAAAAATCTATAAAGCGGGAGACGCTGTAGTAGATGGTGGCAAGTGAGTCGATTTTTTAAGCATCAATCTCTCAGCATCTACATTAACAACCAACATCGTCGTAGGTAAAAAACAATCTCTCCCGACTGACATAATGCCGTCTGACAAACTTACCGTTAGGCCTTCGTTATGAGATCATCGTCGGTACTTTTCGTCTTTGCCATGGCTCTGACCGGCCAGGCATGTGACACTTACAAGTACTGTCACTGCACCAACGCTGACGGAAGCGCAAATGACGGCGCGACTACGTCCGCGTGCGCTGCCGGCGATCCTATCATATATGATCGTGGCTATGCCGAGTGCAAACACTACGATAACTATGTTTACGTAGTCAAAGCCATCAACAATTGTGATTTCAGGAAGGCTTGCAACGCGAAAGGCGCAGCTGGGGATTCGAGCTGTAGAGCCAAGGTTGGCATTGGCAAATAATTCAAAAAATGATGCACATAGGTGCTCAAGATGATCGGTAGTGGGCGTTGGTGACAGCGGTGTAAAGGTTCAGGTCCCTATAGTGAATTGTCTTTGAGGTCTTTGACTGGTTGTTAAAGCAGCGTTGGTTCAGGTTTGCTCTTGAGTAGCTGGCAGAGGATATGGTGGAGGAGGAGCTGCTTGTTAATAGAGTTTACGGTATCCAGATCAACTGACTCTGACAGAATCTAGGATACCCTCGCTTAGGTGAAACCCACTGCATACAGTCATTACTCAGTTAATCACATAGTCGGGCCAGGATTGCCCTACAAGGGACAGATGCCACTCATTTATATAGATCTACTGCAGGCCTAGCAGATCACTCAAGCAATACAACCATACTCATCCCCATCCATTATGCCACTGCTGACCATACTGAAGATCTGTCACTCTGACTGCAGCCAAACCATCGGGCTCACTACTTTTTAGCATAGCATTGAGAGGGTCAAGGTTGGCTGCATTATCACTATCCTATCTAGCACTATCGAAGCCGCTTCCTTGCTCTCTATGCCGTGGCAGGTCAGAAACCCTCCTGACACCCTGCCAGAAGAAGTCGGTTGCACTTTGTAATACACCGGCCATATATTACTCAACACCATCAAGAGAAATTGTTGGCTCTTTTGCTAATAGAGGTGGTTTGGCACGAATCCTTACAGCCAAAGCGGCAAAGAGTGAAGTGTCTGTAGACGAAGAACCATTTTGTTGCTTGGGAATTATTCGACGTCATCGAACTGAGCGCCGTTGAGACGCTTCGAAACGCGCTCCGTGACACTAGCACGACCCGCCGCGTAGCGACCCAACCCACGTCCCGGCGCGATGGACCTCGAGCCAGATTCGACGTCCATCACCGTTGCGAGGGAGGTGACGGCAGCAAGCGACGAGGACCTGCCATCACGAAGGGTGCGAAAACCATCTGCGAAAGTCCGACTGAACCAGGTTCGCCAAGAGATAACCGAAGATGCGATCGAGCGAGCGACCAAGACTGCTGGCAGTGGCCGGCGTGCGACCACTACTCGAGCCGCTACCTTGGCCAAGGAACGCGCGAAGCCTGTTGAGGAGGACGACAAAGGGTTGCCTTAACGATGGGCAAGCAGATCAAAGAGCTACACGCAGCGATAAAGATCATATTTGACGTGTGGAAGAAGTCAGAAACCTCAAACCAGAACGTGGAGGCGGAGCTTCGCGTGGTCACCGGAGAGGTGCAAACAGTCAAGAGCGAGCTACATGCCGTCAAAGGAGAGCTACAAGCGATGGAAGAACGCGTGGAGGACGAAAGCGCTAAGACGAACGAAAGCCTCGAAGCAATCGCGGCAGTGACTGCGACGCGGAACAGCCCAAGCGCGTCCTACGCGGACGTCGCGCAAAGCGGCTTAGGCGGGCAAGGTCGCGACTCGCGGGTAGCTACGCCGGGCAACGCAACTCTGGCGAGCCGCAGCGACCCTCTATTCTGTACGATCGACACATCAAGAGTTGAAGAAGGCAGCGACAAGCCCAACGCAGGTCGGGTTCGGGCTGCGGTGGAGAAGGAGATGCGCGCGATGGACGGACAGGGTAGCTGGCGCTGTCGGGCCATCACAGTAGACCCAAGGAATGCGGATAGGATCCGGGTCATTTGTTGCGACGATGCTGAACATAGGCTTGTCAAGCAGATCGCGGAGAAGATCTTCGGTCCCGGCACACGAGTTCTACAAGACGAACTCTACCCCGTGAAGATCGATAACGTGAAGAGAACCGAGATACTGGATGAGAAGGGCGACGTCAGGGCTGAAGCGGCAGAGGCACTTAGCCGAGAAAACGAGACCACGGTTGCCAAGATATCTTGGCTGAGCAAGAAAGACATGCCCAAGGCGTATGGGTCCATGGTCGTGTTCTTGACCAAGGCCAGTGATGCGCGTAGACTGATCTCCGAGGGCTTCTTCCATGTTGGAGGAGAGTCCGGCACGACGATGGCGTTTGAGCGGCGGCCACGTCCTCAACAGTGCTACAACTGCCAGCAGATTACCAGGCACAAGGCGTACCAGTGCGTGAACCCCCAGGTGTGTGGACGATGTGCCAAGGTAGGCCACCACCACTCTGAATGCAGTGAGACGATCATGACATGCGTGCCTTGTGGCGAACCGCACGAGTCGTTCAGCAATAACTGTCCGAAGCTGTATCCGCGTTCCCATGAGTAGGAAGGTCCAGATCCTTCAGCTTAACGTGAGGAAACAGGCTGAGGTCCACGAGAGTTTGATGAATGACGAGGCGCTGTGCGACTTCACGGCCATAGCGGTGCAGGAGCCATGGGCGCGGAGGATAGAAGGTAAGGCCATTACTGTTCCGATGGGACATAGCAGGTGGACGAGGATGGTACCGACGGAGTGGAGGGACGAAGGAAGATGGGGAATCAGGAGTTTGCTGTGGGTGAACAGAGAAGTGGAGGCGGAACAGGTGCCGATAGCGTCCTCGGATATTACTGCGGCCGTTGTTCGGCTTCCGGATCGAAGGCTGCTAGTGGCGTCGGTGTACGTGCCGGTGCAGAAGCCGGAGATGCTGCGGCAGGCGTGCGACCTGCTGAGACAAGCTATCACGAATGTTCAAGTAGGAACAGGCGAAAGAGTGGACGTGGCCCTAGTAGGAGGCTTCAACTGCCACGACTACCTGTGGGGAGGCGACGATGTGTCGGGGGGCCGGCAAGGCGAGGCAGACCCGATCATCGATCTAATGAGCGAGTACTCGCTCCGCAGCCTCCTTCCGCGTGGCACGAAGACGTGGGAGAAGAACGATGCGGCAACGACGATCGACCTATCCCTCACGTCCGAAGAGCTAGCAAGAACGGTGGTACGATGCGCCCTGCACGAGACAGACCACGGGTCGGACCACCGGGCGATCGAGACGACCTTCGACATTGCCGCGCCTGAGATGGAAAGCCGACCACGGCTCCTCCTCAAGAACGCCCCATGGAAGCAAATCAATGAGAGAGTGGAAGCAGACCTAGGGCGAACGCCAACGGGAGGTACAGTGCAGCAGCAGACAGATCGACTGATGTCCGTGGTGTGCGAGGCAGTAGAGGCACTGACCCCCAAGGCCAAGCCATCTTCGTATGCGAAGAGATGGTGGACGGCCGACCTCACACAGCTCCGGCAGATCCACACTCACTGGAGGAACCGGGCGAGGGCGGAGAGAAGGGCAGGTAACACCCAAGCCGAGCTGGAAAAACGCGCCCGCTCGGCAGCCAAGCAATATCACGACGCCATCCGACAACAGAAGCAGAGCCATTGGGAGGACTTTATGGCCGACGACACAAACATCTGGAAGGCTGCGAAGTGCCTCAACGCCAGTAAAGGGGCATCTTTCGACAAGATACCTCAACTTAAAAGGGCGGATGGCTCCCAGACGGGAGATGCCGCAGAGCAGGCCGAAGAGCTGCTTTCCACATTCTTCCCTCCTCTTCCCAGCACGATCGAGGAGGAGGGCGAGCGGCCACAGAGGTCGCCCGTACCTTTCCCCGACCTAACGTTAGGAGAAATAGAGAGACAGCTCTTTGCGGCAAAGTCGTGGAAAGCTCCCGGAGAAGATGGTCTGCCGGTGGCAGTGTGGAAGCAAACGTGGCCGGTGGTGAAGGAGAGGGTGCTTACACTCTTCCAGACCTCACTGGATGAAGGCATGTTGACGAGGCAATGGCGACACGCCAAGATCATCCCGCTGAAGAAGCCAAACAAAAGCGACTACGGTATAGCAAAGGCCTGGCGACCGATCTCGCTTCTGTCGACGCTCGGAAAAATGCTAGAGTCGGTCCTAGCAGAACGTATCTCGCACGCGGTCGAGACGTTTGGCATCTTCCCTACGAGCTACTTTAGCGCTCACGAACAGAGGTCGGCAGAGCAAGCGCTAGTACTACTACAGGAGTACATCTACAGAGCGTGGAGAAAGAGAAAGGTAGTCGATCTGGCCAGCTTTAATATCAAAGGAGTATACAATGGTGTGTACAAGGAGAGACTACTTCAACGACTCAGGGCACGGGGTATACCTGAGAAGCTTGTGAGATGGGTCGACGCTTTCTGTTCCCATCGTACAGCAAGCATATTGGTCAACGGTCACGAGTCCGAGGCTCGTCCGTTACCACAAGCCGGTCTGCCTCAGGGCTCGCCGCTGTCGCCCGTGCGGTTCCTCTTCTTCAATGCCGACCTCGTACAACACCACATCGACGAGACCGGGGGCGCGCTGGCCTTCGTCGACGACTACACGGCATGGGTTACCGGCCGATCGCGAGAAGCAAACCGGGAAGGCATCCAGAACATCATTGACAGAGCACTTGAGTGGGAACGGCGAAGCGGGGCGACGTTCGAGACGGACAAGACGGCCACCATCCACTTCACGCGCAACTGGAGGCTGCCGGCAGACTCGACCAGCTTCGTCATCAAAGGGGACACTGTCCGACCAAAGGACCACGTCAAAGTACTAGGGGTGACGATGGACACGAAACTTCGCTTTGAGAAGCACGTCGCAGACGCGACGACAAAAGGGCTGGAGGCCGTCCTGGGACTCAGACGGCTCAAAGGTCTGTCAGCGGCAACGGCCAGACAGCTTTTCGTCGCGGCCGTGGCACCAACGATGGACTACGCGTCGAATGTATGGAGATATAGATGTCGCGCAGCGCAGATGAGAGCAATCAACCGAGTGCAGAGGATTGGCGCCCAAGCGGTCGTGGGAACCTTCAACTCAGTGGCCACGGCGGTTGCCGAAGCGGAGGCAAGCATACAATCGGCGCAAGAGAGATACGACAGAAAATCAACGACATTCTGGGTACGGATGCGAAGCCTTCCCAAGACCCATCCGCTTCGACGTCTACGGGCGGTAGCCTTTAGACGGTTTCCATCACCCTTCCAGCTGATGGCGGAGGCCTATCGCGACCAACCGCTTGACAAGCTGGAGACTACCGAAGGGTATTTGATAACTCCATGGGAAGCCCGTATTGACACAGTAGTCGAAGACGACGCGGTCAAGGCCACCGAAGCAATCCAGTCCGGGTGGGCAGTGAGGATAGCGACGGCAAGTTCGGCAAGAAACGGGGTTGTAGGCTACGGAACGGCCACAACGCTGCCTGTATCACTCAGAGGGGGCGGCGGCGTGATAACGGCCTCGCGCACATTCGGCCAGAGAACGGAGCAGAACCCGTATGTGGCAGAGCTAGCGGCGCTGGCAGAAGCGGTCAAGTCTCTACCCCAGAAACTCGATTACCGGGCTATCCACGTG